GAACAAAATTCCATTATAAGATAAATCACCTTTGCTTATCCATTCATCACTTGGTATACATTAGACATTAGGTTGTTTCTACCTTTTGAGCTACTATGAATAATGCTGCTATTAACATTAGAATACAAGTTTTTGTGTGAACATGTTTTTAGTTCTCTAGGGTATATACCTAGGAGTGGAATTGCTGGGTCATATTGTAACTCTATGTTTAACTTTTTGAGGAACTGCCAAACTTTTCCACCATGGTTATGCTATCTTACATTCTCACTATGTATGAAAGGTCTCATTTCCTTACCAACACTTGTTATTTTCCACTGTTTTTTTTTGTTTGTTTGTTTTTTTCAATTGCCATTCTAGGGCTTATAAAGTAATATCTCATTGTGGTTTTGATTTGAATTTCCCTAACGATTAATGATGTAGAGCAACTTTTCATGTGCTTATTGGCCATTTATATATCTTTTTTGGAAAAATATCTGGTCAAATTCTTTGCTTATTTTTAATTGTTATTTTTCTTTTTATTGTGGAGTTGTAAGAGTTTTTTTTTTTTTAATATAATCTGGATACTAGACCTTTATCAGAAAATTTCCAAATATTTTCTCCCGTTATGTGAGTTGGCTTTTCACCTTCTTGATATTGTCCTTTCATTCACAAAAGTTTTAATTTTAATGAAGTCCAACTATTTTTTGTTTGTTTGTTTGTGCTTTTGGTGTTATATCAAAGAAACTGTTACTTAATCCGAGGTCATGAAGATTTACACCTATGTTTTCTTCTAAGGGTCCAGTGGTCCTAACATTATTTGTTGAAAAGACTCTTCTTTCCCACTGAGTGGCCTTGTTACCTTGTCAAAAACTGAGGGTTTATATCTGGACTATTAATTCTATTCCATTGATCTGTATGTCTACCATTACGCTAATACCAAATTGTCTTGACTACTTTAGTCTGTAGTAAGTTTTGAAATCTAAAAGTGTTAGTTCTCCAACTTTCTTCTTTTTCAAAATTGTTTTGGCTATTCTGAGTTCCTAGCATTTCCATATGAATTTCAGAATCAGCTTATTCATTTTCTCTCTCTTTCTTAACCTTTCTTTCCCTTACTCTTACATTTCGAACACCCTAACTATGGTGGTTCAGGTTTAGGTTGCAAACTGGAGGTAGAATCAGGACGATGTGACCATGAGCAAGTTATTTCACCTCTCCGTACAATGAAATTAATAATATCTACTCTAGAGGGTCATTACTGTAAATATTAAATTATATTCGATAATAAAATAAAACTCACAGAAAAGCCCGTTGATTACTCAGATCATCAGCCTGTAAACAACTTGTAACAAAACAACAAAAACAAGAATGATGACCTTTTAGGAGGCACTTGATCTATGCCAGACAGGCAGCTTGACATGAATCATCTCATTCAATTCTCGTAATAACCCACAAGGTAGATATTGTCATTAGTCCCCATTTTATAGATGAAGACACAAACACCAAGGCAGGGAGAAGTTAAGTAACAGTCACTCGGTTAAAGAGCTGAGCTAAGATTTCAATCCTGGCGGGTGACTTTCAAATTCAGAAGGTGGTCCTATTTGACCAGTCTTCTCAGGGTTTGGGGAGAGGCTTTAAAAGGTGGGCTCTGGGCTGACTTCAAAGAAGTAGATCTTAGGAAACCTGCAGGTGCTTCTTACCCACAACCTGGAATGCAGGGTGGAGGGGTGGTAAATGGCATCTTGGGAGGGAGCACCTCAGATTCTGTATCTTCCTCTCCACAGGCTCTTCAGGTAGATCTACTGAGTGGAGTGGAGCCAAATTAAACTCTCCCCTGCCCCAGTCCCTTATTGTCCCTCCGTTGGGCAGCTACGATAACTTCTCAGTCAGCCTCCCTGCCCCTAGCCCCTTCCTACTACACTTGCTAATGCATCCAATCACATCCCTAGATCACAATTATTAACCCCACACCTCAAAACTGTGGGCGGCCCCACTGCTCACAGGGCTGAGCTCTCTACTGGTGAGAAGTACCACATGAACCTTGAAATCGGACAGATCCCAGTTCAAATACCAGCTCTATCCTTTCCTAAGTCTTGGTTTCCTTTCATATAAAGTGGGGATATTTAATGGAGATGAGGGATCTAAAGTACTTAGCAATTTCCTAGGCAAGCTGGGCTCCCTCCCAGTCCTCCAAACCCTAACACCACAGCCCTTTGCCTATGGCCTACTTTTGCCCAGTTTAGGGCCATTAAGGCCAATTCTCCTTTTATGGGACATGTCTTGAGGTATTTGAAATCACATATCAATGTAATAAATATAAAACCCCTTATCACAGAGGGTAACTGTAACAAGACATATTTAAATTAAAATGAGAAATGTGCATTCTTGTATCACTGTGTTGGTGCAACTGCCACATTAGAGGAAATGCAGATCTGGCCAACACCTCACTTCTCCGATGGAAAAACGGCAGTGGTGAGGAGCACAATCTGAGACTGAGCCAGGGGTGTTCCGAGTACTTCGTACTTCCCCTTTCTTCTCCTCTTTCTTCTTCACTTCCCTTCCCCAAGTTTGCTCCGTCTGCATCTGCTGTCTTACCATCTTCCTCCTCCCTTCTCTCACCCCATTCTCTCCTTCCTTTCAGTTTATCCCTTTCTATGTGGCTCTCCTAGAACCTCCTCCCCCACTCTTATTTTAAATAATCATTCTGGCTGTTGGATTCCACCCTTACAAGAGGGAAAAGTGCAGGTTGCCATTTTGGTAGTCCTAATAAGTGGCTCTGTGATGGTGCCTTACTACTTACCCTTCATAGATTTCCATTTTTCCTGTATAAAATGGGGTTGGCAAGCCCTGCCTTATCTCCTTTTCCAGATAAGGCATGGGTGTTTTTTTTTAAAAGGCCTTGAAGGAGCCCCTAAAGTGTATTACTAATTGGGGTAAATCGTCCCACCCCAAAACCTCCGACCCCAAAACCTCCGACCCAGTGGCCTTCTGCCATCCCACTGTGGTTGTAACATATGGATAGTGATTGCTCCTTCTTGTACTACCCACCTTGCTCAGCCCTGTCCTCATTCTCTTGCATGCTGCCTCTGCCTCCTCTCTTCCTTTGCCACTTCCTCCTTCTCTCACTCCCAGCTCCCACTGAGGCATAAAACCTAGACCACAGGCTACCCGCCTCTGAATTGTTGAGGAGCAAAAGTTACAATGAAGTGTCGTAAAATGAAATCATGAAAAGCCCCTGCATGTATAAGATCTCTTCACTGAATGCTCCACATACTCAGCCACTGATTGATAAGGGGAAGGTGCAGAGCTGGTGAGGAACTGGAGAGGCTTCCATTGTTTTTCACTCTGTAAAGTAGAGCAATGAGATCAGGCCCTTCTGGACTCCTCAACTCCAGTCTTGCTCCCATAAGAGGACCTACCTGCTGGCTCCTGCGTGTACATACTAACCCCAGTCATGCTGGGTACAGACCACATAGGAGTCCCTGGTCCAGAGGAGATAGACTGAGTTGGTGTGCCATATATTCATTCTACACACTGGCCATGGGACAGGTGATCTGTTCAGGATTTGGTGGGCATGCAATGAGATATTGGCCTCAAGGTGTTCATGATCAAGCAAGAGACAGACGCACAACTAGCCATCATCTAGGTGATGCATGCCACTGTGCTCTCATGCCAGCGTGTTCTTGGTGCCCTAGTGGGCCAGAGCAAGGAGGCTGGAGAAGGCTAGGTGTTTCCATGAGAAGTGGAATAGAAAGGACTGGGGGTGTGGGCTTGGGGGAGAGTTTAGAAATGGAAGCAGGGGTGACAAGAGTCTTTAAACATGGAGTCTCAATCTAAGATCCTGGAATGGGGCATGGAGTGAGGTGGGTGCCATGTCCCACTTTGTCTGACAAAGTCACCTCAGTCCCTAACTACTGAACTGATTGTTATAATTTACAGAGCTCCAGCATGGTTACCACTGCCTTCCATTCTTCTAACCTCAGCACAGCCATCAAATCTGAGTGCATCCTTGACTTTCCTCCCAGCAGAAATGGCTAGTTCCCTACTCCACGTGCGTACCCCTTGTCTCAGGTCAGGGTCCCCAAAGCAGACCCTAAGACAAGGATTTGAGGATTTGTGGGTAAGTGGCTTATTATGAAGTGCTTCCAGGGGAAACTAGCAGGGGATTGGTAAAAAGGCCCAGAAGAGAGGGGGGACAGCAAAGTCCTGCAGCACTGAGGATAACTGGCTTGACCCCACCAGGAACTCAGGAAACAGTGTAGATTGCACTAGACCTGGAGTCTGTATCTCTCCAGCAGACTACTCTTAGAATGTAAGTTTCCAGTCACCCTCACTTTCCTAGAGCCTGCAGACGAGGCAGCTCTCGCAACCAGAGGGCTGGGACTACAAGACCAGCAAAAGCTAGTTTGCATGAACATGGCACAGGGGTCCAAAGGAATATGAACAGGCAATGACAGCATCTGTCTCATTCTATGCCCACTCTGTCAGCACCTGTCATAGTTTATTACACACACTTGATCGCATATCTGTCTTCCCACTGAGGGTAACTGACATATGGCACATTCCTAACAAGATTTGGTGAATGAATGCATGAATGAAAGGAAAGAGATAGGATGACTGCCCATTTTCAGCTGAAGAAACTCAGAGAGGTGAGTAACTTACCCAGGATCCCACAGGGAATGAACAGCACAGCCAGGATCCCCATCAACCTCCTTGACTTTTTGTCCTTTGCCCTTGGTGGAGCAATGCTTCCCTCCCTTAGCCCTTTCTTAGAGCACCCCAAATAACCCCTGACTCAACTGGGCAATGACTTCCCTTTTGCAGAACTTAGGACTCTAGGACTTTCAAGGAAGCCTGGAGAGATTGAGGGGAGACTATATCAGTGCTTATTTCCTCTTAGCTTCCTGTATAAAGGACAAAGAGAAGTCAGGATGTTCTGCAAAGAACCAGGCCCGTTGTCCCCAGCCCTTCTCCTCTTGCATTCCAGCTTCGAGCACTGAGCTGCCTCCTCTGCTATAAAGGACATGGAATGCCTCATGACTGTTGTAGCTGGCCTCCTGCTCCTGACCCTGTGTGCCCACTGCATTGCACCTGCAGGTAAGACCTCTAGCTCCAGCTTGGGCAGGATGGCCATCCTGAGGCCATGGCTAGGATGGCATAGTGGAGGGTGGAAGACCAACAAGCCTGGAGTTAGTTGAAGGGGAACACTGCAGCCCAGTGACTGGACTGGAGGTATTTAGTGCAGGGGACAGCCTTCATCTCCAAAGCCCAGACCCTAGGGCAGGCTGAGAAAGGACATGGCTCTTCTCTCTTTCCATCTTTTAGGCTCTGCGGTCATCTCCTCTTCCTGTTGCTTGTCTTTCATTTCCAAGAAAATTCCTGAGAGCCGAGTGGTAAGCTACCAGCTGTCCAGTGGGAGCATATGCCCCAAGGCAGGAGTGATGTAAGTAGCTAGTACCTCTCTCTGGGCACCTGATGGGAGAGGGGCAGAGAGATGGGAGCCACCAGAGTTACTAAGGAGTGAAGTCAGGAGGACCTGGCTCTGTGATTCTGGTGAGTCGCCTCACCTTTCTGAGCCTCGGCTTCCTCACCCATAAAATTAGGATGAGAATTCAGAGTCAACAACTATTTATTGAGCACCAAATTCCTCGAATCCTTGTTATATGCACCATTCAGGGCATATAACATTATCTTAACTAACCCTCTTGACCATCCTTTGAGTCAAATAGGATCATCCCCATAAAGAGAGGGCAGCTGAGGCTCAGAAAGGTGACCCGCTGAAGGTCACCTAGGACTCCAAATAATTCACAGTTGCCTTTCACACAAGGCAAAGAGGTATGAACTCACTGTGTAAACAGTAGCATGCTGTAGAAATATATTTGTATTATTAGTAATTTTCCCCACTGGTACCAGTCCCAATTCCATAGCCTGGCACCCCCACCTCAGAGCTGGCCTGGAATAAAACATCCCATTGCCCCCTACCAGCCCTGGCATTCTTATCAGCCACATTTCCTTGCAGAATGTGTGCGCTAAAGTTTCTGCCTTTTTTCTTGGGGGTTTTCAATGCATTCGTTTAGTCCTCTCTGTGGGTAGAGATCCAAGTGTTATCTAAAATCAGGACTGGGCCTCCCCCATCTGGTAGAAATGTGACTGACTGAACACGAGCACTGAAACAGAGACATAGACACACAGAGAGAAGATGTCATGTTAGTAACTTTCTAGGAGGCCGGTCAGCAGCTTGTCCTCCATGGGATGCCACACCCACCTCCTTCTAAGGTGCTCCAGACTCCTTGCCAGGTCTCATGGGTGCCTGTCCTTCTTCCCATAGCTTCACCACCAAGAAGGGCCAGAAGTTCTGTGGTAACCCTAAGCAGGACTGGGTCCGGAAGTATGTGAAGAACCTGAATGCCAAACGGAAGAAGACATCCGTGCCAGTGGTCACCAAAGTCTCTCTCCAGTACCCTACTAACATCTCTATCTAACCACTACCTGGTTCCCTGTCCTGAAGTTGCATCTGAGCCTCGGCTCCTTGCCAGGCTTCTTGGGGCCTGGTGAGGTAATGGTGACAAGGGAAAAGCTAATGTTCCTGTTTCTTAGCATAACTTGCAAGGGATATGTCTAGTCAATAAAAAACTCCTGAGGGCTGAGCAACAACTTCAAGCATCTTGGGCCCCTGGCCTTCCCTAAGCTGGGGGAGAAGGTCCAGGAAGGAGGGCAGTGGCAGCCTTTGTCCTCTTCTTGAGCTGGAGCTAGCCCTTCCCTACCTTCCAGGATCCATCAGAGCCTAGGTGCATGAGGCCCAACCTGCAGACACACCTGCTTGCACTTCAGCCTTTAGCTGTCTTCTCTGGGCCCTCTGGTCTTGTGGTGGGACCTACGGGATGTCTGTCTGTCTGTCTGCCTGCCAACAGTTGCGGCTCTCCATCATGTGGGGGATGCTCAGGCTTGTCCTACTCCTAGCACTCTGAGTGAATAAAAAGCAAAAGGCCTCTTTGCGGCATTCACTGATGGTTCCTGTCTTTCTTTGCACGCTTCTCATGGGACATGATTAATAAAGTTTTCAGGAACTCATCGTTTTCTGTAATTAAATGGGCACGGAGAACCAGGTAGTTTAATTCCTTTGTGAAGATATGGCTTCAAGGAGATGTCGCATTTTGTGACATGGCTTGTTCCATGCTGCTTTGGGGACAAAGACCTGCTCTGACTTGAAAGCTGGTCTTTCCCATATTTTAGTGAGGGGAAGATAGGTGGGGGCTGAAGCGGGAGAAAGAACCCAGCTTTTTATTCCTGTGCATAAGATACTGTGTGATTTGTCTGTCAAGAGTGTGGACACACTTGCTGTTCTCAAGTAACGATCCAAGTAAAGTGTGATTTCTCCTTTGAAGGTGGTTGTGTCCTGCCTGTTCTTGTCTGTGAATGGAGTGTGTCTGGCAGAGAACATCCTGAGTTGCCCAGCTGAGGCTGGGAGGGGATGAAGGCAGCCTGAGCCCAGGGAAACGCAGGAGTGGTCTTGATCAGTTCTTGGGAGTCCTGTTATGAACTTTAAAAAACACACATGCCCAGCTAAATTCAATTAAATTTTTAAAAGATATCAACGGAACACATTATTGCACAAGGAGCTGTTACAGGCATAAGGAGGCTATAAAACGATAAAAGATAGTCTCTGGCTTCAAAGAATTAGGGAGAAAATAACATACTTACAAATCAAGAGCAGTGTGGATTTAGTACTCTATTTAATGTGTTATAAGCTGCATGACCTTGAAATATGTCACTTAAGCCCTCTGAGCCTCAGTTTCCTTCATCTGTGAAATGAGACTAATGAGATCTTTTAACTTTGTTAGCACTTTCTTCAGAAGCAGACTCTGAAACAAAGCTTTGAGTGCTAATATTATGTCTGAGAAGTACAGAGAATAACACCAGGAAGATGGGGAGGTGATAGAAGGCAAGGAAGGCAACCAACGAGCGTGTTAGCAGAGGGAAATTAGAGCTCAATCCACTGGGAAGTGATGTGAGACCGCAACCTAAGAATTACAAATTGGATCTATCAGTTACTGCCTCATGTAGGGAGGGGCAGTCTTTCCACGGGCTAGGGTAGAGCAACCTTCCACTGTTGAAAACAAGCCTTCAGGTGCAGAGAATCTGAAGAGCACACAAAGGGCCTAGCAGCAGACATTCAATATACAGCAGTTAAAGTTCTTTTAACTTCAATATGAAGCACAATACAGTAGCGCTAAACAATGAAAAATGTGATGGGGGCTTCAGAAATCTTTAGCACAGACTTGGCATCGGAACGGTGACTGAGGTTTCACCCTGGAAAGAAGGCAGTATTTCTAAGAACAGAAGAGAACTAGAGCGTTCAGGGATGAGAAACAATGGCTAGACCGCAGATGACAACAAAACTCTGACCTACAACCTCTAAAGCAACTAGCCCAGAACTATCTATCAAGCTTGGTCAGTGACTGCCAGTTTCCTTTATTCTCCTTTTTCCAGCTCAAGACCAACTAGAGAAAGACAAATATACTCCCAAAGCAATCATATATGATGTTCGCTTCTAGTTAACTCACCTCCAGCTTCCTGAGGCCAACCACCTCCAATAAAAGCACATCTGTGCCCTCCCTTTCATCCATTCTGAAGCTCTCCCACCCCACCTGCCTTAGTCTCTGCCAAAAGCAAGTGATGGTGGCTTACTGCAGCAAGCTCTGAATGAATAACATGTTTGTTCTCATCTGGGTGGTCTTCATTTATTTCCATAGAGAAGTCATATAGTCTGATATGGCTGCAGCTGGTGCCATGGCGAGGACTGAAGCAGGTAGAGCGGGGAGGGCCTCTGAGAGTGCGGAGAAGCTGGCACTCTGCTCTACTGCTGACGGGAGTCTCCACCGGGTCAGCCTCTTTGGAGAATGGTCTGGTAGCATATGTTAAAAGGTTAACCGCACCGACCTAGCAACTCCACATCCAGGAATGGTTCCTATGTTGTAGCCACCAGCCCCGCAAAGACACACGGACCACTAGAACTCAGTGAGTTATAGGAAACATGCTCTTTATTCAGCCAGCTGGGTCGGCCAGGGGTACGCAGACCCCCAAATTAAGCAGCCCCAAAATGTAGAGCTACAGGGTTTTCAAGCCCTAATTTCCATTCCTCATTCTGTCTTAAACACAAAGGTCTATTTTTCTCCTTTTCACTTCCTGTCAACCCATGAGTCGATTGTGCAAACGAGGGTATAGAAGCAGAAAGCTTATTGTTAGAATGTTATGTTTCCATGGGTGAGAGCCTATGTTCCCATGGATTATAGCCTATGTTCCCATGGGCGATAGCCAAGCAGTAATTTTTCAGCCAGCACACCTACACATCTGCACAAAGGTGCACGCATGTACAAGAATGTTTACTGCAACATTTCTATAGCTGTAGAAAACTGGCAACAACCTGATTGTCCATTTATAAGGGACTTGGCCAAGATATATTTTTAATTGAGAAAAAGCAGGGTACATAAGGGCATATATTGTACAATCCTATTCATGCGAAAAATAAGATATACACATGATTAGCAACTTGATGGACACGCAAACTATCTAGAGTGGTTGCCTATGGCAAGTCAGACTGGGATTGAGGAGACATAGCTTTATTAGTGTTTCCTTGTGGTGTTTGAACTTTTTATTATGTGCATTTATCCCTTTTATAATAAAAACAAGTATACAAAAGGCATCAAAGCACTGTCCAAGACCCTCTCCCTAGGCTGTACCACTATAGTGTGAAAAGCTCTGTTGTAAGCACACAGCAGATGTATCAAAAGGTACAATTGTAACCCAAGGGCGGAAAAGAGAGGAATAGAGCATAGGTGAGTCCTTGAGCCCAAGGGATGGGAGAAGGAATGAAAGAGTAACACAAAGAACAGCAGCTTTCAAACCTGGCTGGGCTTCAGCTGTGGATCTTTAAACTTCTGATTCCTAGGCTCCACCCCACACATAATGACTTAGACTCTGCTTGGATGGGCCCCACAAATATGCATCCTTAGAAAAGTTGCCCAAATTGGGGTAGCCATTATGAAAAACAGTGTGGAGTTTCCTCAAAAAATTAAAGAACTACCATTCGATCCAGCAATTCTACTTTTGGGTATTTATCTGAAGGAAATGAAATCATTAACTTGAAAAGACAATCTGCACCTTCATGTTCATTGCAGCATTATTTACAAGAGCCAAGACAGAAAGCAAGCTAAGTGTCCATTATGGATGAATGAATAAAGAAAATGTAGTATATACAAATGCAATGGAATATTATTCAGCCATAAAAAAAGATTGAAATCTTGACATTTGCAACAACATGGATAGACCTTGAGGGCATTACGCTAAATGAAATAAATGGCAAATACTATATGATCTCATGTATATGTGAAATTTAAAGCATGTGCGCACCCATGCGTGTGCACGCACGCACACACACATCCCAAATTCATAGATAAAGAGAAAGATTGGTGCTTGCCAGAGGTGGGGGTAGAGGGGTGGGTAAAATTATTGAAGGTGGTTAGAAGGTACAAACTTTCAGTTGTAAGATGAATAAGTCCTGGAGATGTAGTGTACAACATAGTGACAATACTATAGCTAACAATACTGTATTGTATATTCGAAAGTAGCTAAGAGAGTAGATCTTATCACAAGGAAAAAAATTGTAACTATATGTAGTAATGGATGTTAACTAAACTTATTGTGGTGATCATTTAGTAACATATATATCAAATCATTGTGTTGTATACCTAAAACTAAGACAATGCCATATCTCAATTTTTATAAAGTTGTTCATGTGATTATGATGCCCAGCCTGGGTTGACAGACTTTATCTTTTACACAGATAGACGAGGAGCAGAGAAAGAAGGATCTTGGGCTTCTTCCAGCTGAAGGAAACCATCTGGGAAGCTTGGAGCTGGGTTAAATATCTGACTCAGGACCCGTTACCCTGGGGCAGGAGCAGCTGATGAGCATGAAGAAGGGCCTGGTTGGGACCTTGTAGAGGCCTCACAGTGTCCCCAGCTTCACTTTCCCTTGCCCTATAGCTTAACAATAGATTGTCCCCAGAACTTGGAATGTCCCCTGCCATAGAAAGTTGCCCTGAAACTTATGAGTAATGCCCTTATTCTTATTGATCACAATCCTTCTGGTTCAGCATTCTTTCCAGATTACTCCCATCTTTGTTCCTGGGTCGCTAACACCACCGGAGGACCACATTGCCAGAAGAATGGCTCTGTGAAACATAACAAATTCTCCCCAGAACTGTCATGTAGCCCTTGGAATAATGCCCAGATTTTCCCTTAAGTACCCTAAGTCGGACTGAGAAGGCAAGATAGTTTTTGAAGGTGTTAACCTGCTGCCTTCTCTGATCACCAGCGCTCTGACAGTAAAGGCTTATTCTAAATATCCCAACTCCTGTGTTGGTCTATTGGCTGAGTAGCGTAGGCAGCATGAGCCCAGGACTCGGTTGCCCTCTGGTTTC